GTTTATAAAACAAATATAATGATATTAACTACTATTATACTTCCTTAACGTCAAAGATATGTATTTGAAATTACAAAACAATTTATTGTGCAAGTGTGAATAATTTCTTTTTTTAATGACCGTAGAACTGAATTTGCGACATAGATTTCCGTAAAGTTAGATTGATTTTTTAAACATTAGATATACTTACTATCCAATAAATCGTTCAAATCTTGATTTTCTGTTTCATTTGTTTGTTCGATATTATCAGTCATATTTTCGTGATTTTTTAATATCCTATTAATATCCTGCTAGACACTTTTCACGGAGAGAGGATTACTATGAATGGCTCTTCTTCTTCAAATCCCTAATTGATTCCGAGGACGTGCTAGAGAGAAACCTGAGAGGAGCCTTTTTCGCGTAACAGGCGAAAGTCATCGTACGCTAGTAGCACCAATATCAATTTTATAAATTGATGTGAACTACATATCACATTTTCACCACTGTCGATAAAATCATAGTGTCGATAAATAGATTTGGTGACATTCACAAATCGTGAATAAAGATAATATTAATTTACAAAAAATGTTTCTTTTATTCATATAAGGTATTTTTTTTTACAGATTTTTGGATACTGAAAATGACGCAAGTTAAATTTCACTACCCAGACAGAAATAATTTTTCGAAAAGACGTCGTTTTGATGTCGAAAGTAAAAGTTTTCGAAATTTCTATTGATTTTGATGGATTTTTAGTTCCAATTTCGATTAATTTTCGATTTTGAAAATAAAATCTTGAATTGATCTAGTCAGCATAAAAATATATTGCTAATGTCACTAATGCAATAAGTAAATTCGACAAATGTCACTAATAGTGGTAGAGAAAATTTCATTAAAGTTTCATTGAAATTTTATTATGAAAATAAATATTATTGATTAGCATCATATTTGAGAGAATACATGACAAAATTATAATAAAAAAAAATTTATTTTATGAATTCGAGAACTAATTTTATAATGCATCCATGCGCGAATCCAAACCTCCATTTACCATGTTTCATTTGTGGGATAATACGGGAACTGTTTCTTCGAAGAACCATGAACACTTATAATGCTAATGGATATATAGTTGCAACATATCTGTTCAAAGATGTTGTGAAAGAGGCGGAATACATAAAAAAAAATGTTCCGATTCATATAAAAAATTTCCACAATTTTCTAAAAAGTTATAAAATTATTAATAAATTCTGAAAAATTTTGAGAAAGCTTTTATGATTAGAGCGATATTGTAATTATCGAAATGAAATCGAAAAAAATGTCGATTCGACTTTTGAACGAAAATATTCAAAATACAAGATGACGTATCACAAATTTATACCAAAAATATTTAAAATGTATCAAATTCTCATTCTCTACATAATTTTTTGTTACTCGAAAATGTTGAAATTTCGATGTAAGTTTCGAATCGATAACTTTTTCATCGTAATGACATCGAAATGATGTCTTTTCAAGGAACTATTTTTGACTGGGAAAATATAGAATTTTTCTAAGATAGTAAATTTTCCGTCTTTAACAATGAAATCATTATACTTATAATTTCTAGTTTGTGACTATCGATACACACAATGTAATTTATCGTTATAGATTCCGCTAAATATATATATATATACATATATGTATGTATGTG